TTTTGACCGTGCTTGAGGCGTACGCGAGCGAGGTCGCCTGTTTTCGTGCAGACCCCCCCCCCCCCCCCCCCGCGTGCTTGCCTTCGCGGTGAGGCCTATTACCTGGTTTGCTTCTTTCGAAAGGAGAGTCACTCTCTCTACTAACACTCCTCATGCGCAGACCTGGTGCCAATGCACACTGCAGCGACACAAGAATAAATACTGAGCCCCTATTTTGCTGCGCTACTCATCTTTTGCACGCATTCTATGAAAGGGCGAGGCATTGCAAGATTGGACTCCGCGCTTTGCGAGCGAATTTGCCGCTACACCGGTGAGAAGATTGGGAACGCGAGCAAGTAACGATTATATGCAGCGAACGCAATACCCACTCGTATCGCGATAGATTTGCAACAAGCTGCCTACTCTGTGCATCATCAGTTGGCTCGACACATAATAATGGCGCTACTAAAACGCATCCAAACACGCCTCCATTACGTCGCCCGCCTCGACACGACGATAATCTGCCTTCGTCGCTGGACCGAGCGCTCTTTGCGTCGATCCTCATGTCAATGGTGTGGAGGATGAATCTCCAGACGACATCATGGCTGCGGTAAAGGCGCATACGACCCTTGATTACCGCCCTAGTGCGCACCGACGTGGCAAAGCCGTCAAGTATGGAATGGCTGAATTGCTTCACAGTGACCTCGCGCAGACCCGGGTCGAACAGCTCGGCCGTGACAAGCTCGTTCAGCGTCTCCGCCAGGTCCTGCTGGAGCCGTGAAAGGCGGTAGTGTTCCAAGGAGCCGGACATGGTAACAAATAACAAGTGGGAGGACGAAGGGCGCGAGGTCGGACGGGGAAAGCCCAGGATGTTTGTCCGTCGTGTGAGTCCGTCAGTGAGTCGTTTTCGTTTGTATGCTGAGGTGTCAGGTGTGAATTTTGAATGTTTTTTGATGCCTCGGTGTCCATTGCAGTGCTGGACATCGGTGGTCCGATGAGCTTGGCGCAGTGCTCTGTCCGGAACGTCTCCAAGTCAACGGAGTGTGCATTTCCTGCGGAACCCCGGAGTCTATTTGTGTATCTCGGTGACTGCTGTGTGAACGGATGTACATCCTGATCTACCTCGTCCGGCTAAAGGCCCTATCCTACCATAGCGATTCGGATGACCAGGCCACTAAAGCTTTTCGAAGCAGTCTACCCTCTGCGTTTCATATGGCATCAGTATTTTTTTGACATCTGTTTCTAGTCTGCATCATTTCCACAATGTTCATGTGTTTTGGGGAAGTGCTATGTTAAGAGGCAGGATGTAGTTGTTCCTTTCGACATAATAGTCACGCTCAACTCGAACCATTTCTTTACCTTCGTGTGCTGAACATCTGACATTGACTTTTGTATATATATATACCGTGTATATATACAAAAGTCAATGTCACTGTGATTAAAGCAAGTGACTATGCTACCCTGTGACATGTAGTAAGAAGGGCAAGCCATGACATGAGAAGATAATTAGAGAAGATAACATGTTGTTGATCTGGTGAATGCACCAAATACAGCTGACCTAAAGCCGTTCACACGTGTAAAATATGCAATCTGAAGCACGCTGCACGTGGTTGGGCTTGGCGCCGAGATCTGTCTCCTTTAACACGTGAGAACAGTGAGCCCTGCCCCATTTTGACAGACGGGGCCCTCTCCCATACATCATCACGAGCTTTAACCGCACCAACTTACCTTCGAGGCGCGGATCACATCGTTTCCTTGCTTTTCCGTTTCGTCCATGCGTCAGTGCATGTGATAGTCACAAACCAAGCGCTTCCCGCGACTCTCTCGCAGCTCAAAACAAAACAGCCGCCATGCATATCCCGGCCTTCCTTCCCGCGCCTCTCCCGTGCCGCCTGCACCGCCTCGATGCCGCAATCCCCCTGCGTCGGCCCCCCTGTCGCCTCTTCCGCGCCACGAGACGACATGCCGTCGGCATGTCTCACGCCCCCTTCTCCCCGATGCCCTCGTCGGACTCCCCGGTCGGCACGTCCGACGCGGTCGTCACAGACGCCATGATATCCGCTGCCAATCGCGCGGCAGATGCCGCCGGTGACGTCATCCGCCGATACTTCCGCGCGTCGCCGGAGGCGTTGGCCGTCGTGTCCAAGTCGGACGAGTCGCCGGTTACGATGGCAGATCGCGAGGCGGAGGATGCCGTCCGAAAGGTGCTCATGGATGCGTTTCCAGGCCACGCCGTGCTGGGGGAGGAGAGGGGAGAGACGGGGGGGGAGTCGCCGTTTACGTGGGTTATTGATCCGATAGATGGGACAAAGGCTTTCATTGCCGGGCGCCCGACGTTCGGCACGCTTATTGCCTTGGCGCACAAGGGTGTGCCCGTGCTAGGCGTGATTGATCAGCCGATTTCGCGGGAGCGGTGGGTCGGCGTAGCGGGGAGGCTGACGACCCTGAACGGGAGGCGTGTGAGTGTTGCGGAGGATGCGCCGGAGAGGATTGGTGATGCTACTGTCCAGGCCACGACGCCGGACATGTTTCTTGGGTTGGATGCCATTGCGTTTCGACATGTCAAAAGGGCGGCCAAGTCGGCGGCATTTGGATCGGATTGCTACGCGTATGCGCTATTGGCAACTGGGTGCGGAGACCTGGTCGTGGAAGCAGATTTGAAGATTTGGGACTTTGCGGCGCTTGTTCCAGTCGTGACTGGCGCGGGCGGTGTAATGACGGATTGGTATGGCATGGACTTGACACTTGAGTCAGAAGGAAGGGTGGTGGCTTCTGCGAATAATGCGCTGCATGCGGACACTCTGGAAATGTTGTGTAGCGTTGACGACCCGCTGGCAGACATGCAAGAAGGAGCCACGCCTGTGAGCGACCAACTCCGTACGAGGATGAATGGGAACGGTATTCCAAAGGACCCTGGAGATGGACATGTCGAAAGCATGACCGGGTACGGGTCAGCTATTGTTGGTGATGGGGTTGTCACTGCTAACGTGCAGCTGAAGAGCGTCAACTCGAGATACTGCGATGTGCAGGTGCGTGGGCCTAAATACCTCACTCCCTTTGACGGGCAATTCATTGCGTTGGTGCGACAAGAGGCGGTAAGGGGAAAGGTGCAGTTAATTTTGGAGATAACGGTGGACGGCGAGGAACAGGCGTCTATGGGGAAGCAACTGCCCATTGTGGTAAATAGAAACGCTACAGCTGCGGTTCGAGCATTGCTCGAGGACCTAGCTGATGCGGCGGGTATCGAGGCAAAACCAACTATTGCTGATATTGTTGGATTCTCAGAGGTACTTGTGAGGCGAGATCCAGGCAACATGGCCGAGGAGGCATTTACCGTGGCGATGAAAGCCACGAAGGAGGCGCTTGCAGATTTGAGATCGTCTCGTCGGCGAGAAGGAGCAATTTTGGAGTACGATCTCTCTAAACGAACACGCAAGGTGTGGGAGTTGCTGAGAGAAGTTGAAATGCGTGCCTCCCAGCGGGTAGAGAAACAGAGAGAGCGGCTGCTAAAGTTGACAAAAGACATTGAGAGCGAAAAGATCGACCCGGTGAGAATCGAGTACGAGGTGACTGTGTACGCGGATCGGACGGATATCACGGAGGAGATAGTGAGGCTTCGTGCGCACATCTCGTTGTTCGAAATGACGCTGCTCGGGGCGGATGAGCCAATCGGTCAGAGACTGACGTTTTTGCTGCACGAAATGAACAGGGAGGCCAACACATTGGGGGCCAAGGCGCTGGACGCGCCTATCGCACAGATCGGGGTGCTCATCAAGGAGGAGATCGAGAAAATTAGGGAGCAAACGCAGAACATCCGATAGCGCTGCTAGCGGCAAATGTGTATGCAACAGAATCATAGAGGGCGTCTTTGCAACTGAATAATGTAGGGTGTTACGCTCCCAGCCTTGATTGAATACAACTGATGGTTCGCTTTGGGTCTGCCATTCCGACAAATACGGTGCATGACTCGGAGATGCAACTCTGTACCGTCACGGTCGCAACCATGTCCTCACTCCCCCTCCTGCAGGCTCCCCAAGAACCGTTCCTCCTCCACGAGAGTCACTGGCGCAAGCTGTCCACAAGCGGCAATAGCCGCAATAACGACATGCTTACACACAGTCTCCCCCGTCGCGCGAAACGCAAAGGCCTTGCAGTTACAATTGAAGTCCATCAACGCAGCGTCCTTCCCGTCCCGCGCGTCCACCAGGACAGGCTCCTCCGCCTGCCACACGACGTCCCTGAAAACGACGGTATACTCCCTCCGGCCCTCCGCGCCGCCTCCGCGCACGCGCACGACACCCTTCCCGGAGCGGGCCTCGACGAGCACGTCCGCGACCGGCCGCAGCAGCAGCGGGCGCGCGCCGTCGTCCGCGGACAGCGCGCCCCTCGCGTACGGGCTGCGGCGCGCGCACTCCTCGATGTCGGCCAGCGCCCCGCGCGTC